AGGATATGTTTAATGGCAGATGGAAGTGTTCTATTGATTACACAGACAAGACATGAAATACTGACATAGGTGGCCTGTTATAGAATTTACTAAACATTTATGGAGAGCAGTGGAACACTCAGTGGCTCAACACTCAAAATGCTTTCTCTCTCCCCAGGAAGGCACTGAGAATGAGGACTTTCCTTCTTGTTCCAGACTGCTTGGCACAGTTCAGCTTCTGATTTGTCCAGCCTGGGTATTAGAGGGCTGCACTATAGCCAGGAATAAAAGGCTGTTCCTATCACCACCTCAAACATTCTTGACCTGCACATTTCCTTTTAAGCTTCAGAAGTCTTTTCCAAGTTCCAAACACCAGATTTTTGTATTGCTTGCTCACTCTGGCATGCTAGCGGGTTTTAGTTTTATCATTTGTGTAATCGTTTATGTAATATTTATTGTCAGTTCATAATGATATAATAAATATAATAAATATGGATCCCCAAGGATGTGCTCTACAGGGAGCTAGCTTCAGGCACAGGACTCATGGGTAGACCAACTCTGCGTTACAAAGATGTCTTTTAAGGTGGCATGAAGGCTGGCAACATCAACCCCACTGTGTGGAAATCCCTTGCAGAAGATCACAGTACCTGGAGACAGTCAGATTGCGCATCCATAGCAGTGAGCAGAGGAGAAATGACTGCTGGGAGCAGAGATGGATTATTGGGAATGCAACAAGTTCAATTGCACTGGGCAGAGAGCCTTAGGGGCACCACAGGGGTGCCAGAACTATAATGTAGAATGGAAGGCGAGAGGTGAGTGGCACAAAATTTTGACATCACACAGGGTGCTGCTGAAATTTGAGACCCCAAGGTTCACCACTGCTGGGAGTAGCACAGAGAGAAGAAAGGCCACAGCACATCTGTATCAGCACAATCAGATGCCTTCGTCTGCCCCAGCTGCATTAAAACATGTCTCTCCCATATCAGTCCCTATAGCTACAGCAGGTGCTGTAACTCTCCAATGGTTTGACTTCACCCCCAAAGGCACATTCCTCCATTTTCTCCCGAGACAGATGGATGCCAACAACTGAATAAATATGTTATACTAATTATCTGTGTAAGCATTTTATGAACTCTAGATATTCTACCAATGTTCACAATGTGCCTTGATGTGCATTGAGTTCCACAGGACAACCACAAATCACATCCGTTGACTCCTTGGTATCTTGCTGCTAAATTCATCACAGAAGTCCTAATTCTTGCATTATGGAAGCGAGTAAATAACATAACCAGGGTAACTTGGTTCATTCTATTTGTGATCTGATGTAGCGTCATTTACTAAGTGAGACAGGCTCAGTAACCCACATATGGTGCCAGGTGAAGCTGCTGGTGGGTTTTATTTCTTATCATGCTTCTGGTTGTCTTAACCTTCTTATCATGCCCATCAGTGTGGTATCAGTTCATTTGGCACAGAGATTGAAATCTGGAGGAAAAAGTCGCACAAAGGTGGCAGCTGGTAAGACAACAGCATCAGATGCATATAATTTCTTTCAAAATTAGATTTATTGAAGTCCTGTCTAGTGGAAATCACTGTAGCATGGAACACTCAGCATATGGATTTGATCATTGACTTATGCCTGACTACATTTTTCATTAGGGGAAATATTGGCTGTGAATGTTTTGACCTCATAATCTCTGTATTTTAAACAATAACCAGTGGAAAACCAAACTAGAGCGGGAAGCTAGACATTTTGTCTCAAGTACTCTATTGTGCTTAGGAATGAGTACCTGTAAAAAATAAAATAGAAATCAGACATTGCTTAAAAAGAGGAGTTCTTTCTCTGCCTTATCACTGACAAGCATAGAGAACAGGTGGCAGTCCCATTTTCTTCAATGGCTAAATGAAGGAATCTCCTGCTTCCAAGTTGAATATATATATATATATCAACTGCTTCATCAGAACAGTTTTGCAAAGGAGCTATAGGCCTCTGTGTGCATTGTGGAGGGACAGAATGGTATAAAACATGGCTAGGGAGGCAGATTCCAAACCCCACCCTCCAATGGCAAATAAAAGATCATTGGGACATGTTTTCAATGCCTGTGGAGATGAAACTACCGAAAGGCCACATAAAAAATGGCAGTCTGAGGTCTGCCATGTCTTACCCTTGGAGAGGGATTTAAGATGGTGAGGCCACCAGGAACACAGCCAAAGGATTTGAAGTCCAAGCACTGAACACACCAGGGGATTTGATTGATTTGATTGTGGGCGACTCATATTTAATCCTGACAAAGATCTGAGGGTCTTTCACTGAACTTGTAGTACCAGCTGAAGAAAAGACCAAGGTCAACATTTCTGGTTCAGGGCCCAAATGACCATGACTGAATACCACCATTTTTATAGCATCAGGAGGAAGTGAGATAAAGATCACGCACTTCGTTTTGCCACACCCAAACATGTAGCAGACAGTTTTATAGCAATGGCACTAGACTTACAACTTGGTTGATCAGACTTACAATGGTACAACTTGCTTTGTACCATTTTAGAACTTTCTTTGTGAGCATTCATTTTCTAGCGCTGGAAGGAATCCTCAACCTGCATCTCACTTTTGGACAATTTTGATTTGCTTTCCAGGTTTTGACATAGCCATTAGTTATTAAGAGAAATTATTTCTATTGTTGTTGTTGGATCATTTTTTAAAAATTAGCTCCAGGCAGCATCACAGAACAAAGAAACAGAATACCCGTGAACAGAGTTAATCACAAATGGCTAATTATTTCACCCCATCTCTCCCTCCCGAAATCATGAAATATTATCCCCATGAAAAAAGGAAAAGGTATCTTCACTCATTATCTCTTCATGGATTTTATGCACCTAATTCATCAAACTAGAAACACTTCCTGCTTGTCTCCTATCAGTTTTGGAATAAAGCTGGTGACCCCACGGATTCTAACTGCTGGAGGTGACGCTTCTAATTTATATCTCCCAGGAAATGCCCCAAACTTATAGTCCTTCCAGCTGTGGACAGAACTTTGTGGAACATTCCCAAATTGAGGCGCATGTTAACATTGCCAGTTTGAATGATTTTCTGTGAGAACAAAGGCATTTAGCCTTGAAAGGTGTTGCTGTGTCTTTAACAACTGCACGGCAGCACAATCTTTGCGCAGACAGGGGATGCAACCTCTGCTACATTTTCACCAGCTAAGAAACATTTCAAAAACACAAAATGTAGGAACCAGGAATGCGCTACAAGTTCATCATGTCCTTATTTCTGAATGGAATTGTTTCAACAAACATGAAATAGTCAGCAGAATTCTTAGTCCCCTCAAACTTTGGTGATTCTTGTCACAATGTGTTAAGAAGATGCTGCTGGATCAGACCAAAGATTTGTCCTGTTCTTACAGTGGCCAACCAGATGTCTGTGGAGAGCTTGCAAGCAGGCCTGGACCACAAGAGCATTCTTCCCTCCTGCAGTTTCCAGCCATTTATTTATTGCGTTTATATCCCATCTTTGCATCCAAGGAGCTTAAGGTGGCATGTACATGGTTCTCCCCCTTCCTATTTGAAGCCCCACAACAACCCTGTGAGGTACGGTAGGTTATGCTGAGAGGTAGTGACTGGCCCAAGGTCACCCAGTGAGCTTCTTGGCCTAGTGGGGGTTTGAACCCTGGTCTCTCCCAGGTGCTATTCTGACACTCTGACCTCAGGGGCTCTCAAATTAATTTTCTGCAGGAATAGCCAATCAGCAAACACACAGGAAGCTGTTTTGTTATGAGTCAAACCAATGGTCTATGTTGTTCAGTATTTTCTTCTACACTTCAGGTCAAGCAATTTGTTCATTCACGCCAGTGCTGTCTATTGCAACTGACAACAGCTCTCCAGGGCCTTAGTCCTTCCCATTACCTGGCTGCCACCAGATTTCTTGAGATATCACCCTTTCCCTTAGATAACCAGTAGGTCACGGTGTTTTGCAGCATAATTTCTTGTTGGAGTTCCTAAAACATCAGAAGCCCTCTCCAGAGCAACTCAGCACAGGGCTTTTGGTGGGGCTGCCTGTGTTTTGTGGAACAACATTCCTGTCGAGATACAGAATTCCTGAAAGTGCCCATTATCTGTACTTTCTGGAAACAACTGAGGACATTTTTGTTTTGACAAGCATTACCAGCTGGTCTCTGCCTTGGATCCTTATTTTGCTTTGTTTTCAAACTCATTTTTTGTTTTTTTATACAGTTTTAAAATTACAGTGATACCTCAGGTTACAGACACTTCAGGTTACACACGCTTCAGGTTACAGACTCCGCTAACCCAGAAATAGTACATTGGGTTAAGTACTTTGCTTCAGGATGAGAACAGAAATCGTGCAGCGGCAGTGGGAGGCCCCATTAGCTAAAGTGGTACCTCAGGTTAAGAAGAGTTTCAGGTTAAGAACGGACCTCCAGAACGAATTAAGTTCTTAACCTGAGGTACCACTGTATATGTGTGCATGTGGATAGAAAATGATAATAATGATAATGATAACAATAATAATTTTATTATTTCTACCCCATCCGCTCTGGGTGGCTTCCAACACATATAAAAGCAGAAGGCAGATAGAAAATAGATAGAATGTTTGTACATTGCCTTGAGACTCATGTGAAAAGTAATTAATTAATTAATAATACATTGTTGTTGTTTTTTAAAATGGGGATTGAACCTGGGACCTTCTGCATGGGTGTAGCCAAGGGGGGCAGTGGGGGCAGCTGCCCCCTCTAAATCAAGTAAATCAATACAAAATACTTAACTACCGTATTTTTCGCTCTATAAGACACACCAGACCACAAGACGCACCTAGTTTTTGGAGGAGGAAAACAAGAAAAAAGATATTCTGAATCTCAGAAGCCAGAACAGCAAGAGGGATCGCTGCACAATGAAAGCAGCAATGATAGCTGTGCAGCCTGCATTCGCTCCATAAGACGCACACACATTTCCCCTTACTGTTTAGGATGGAAAAAGTGAGTCTTATAGAGCAAAAAATACGGTAACTGAGGTTCTGCCCCACTAACATAAAGCCTGGCTATGCTCATGGCTTTGGTTCCTCCCACACATCATAATATTGAGTTGAATTCTGAACCAGGTGCTGGTTAAGAAAACAATTGACTATGATGACCATGTAGCAAAGTCTTGGGAGACACATGCTAAACTCTGTGTAATCCACTTTGCATACAACCTCAGTGTGACTCGGTCTTTTGTCTCAATCCCAGCTACTGAAATAAAGGCGGAAATCCTGAACTTGGAGCAAAATCACACACTGAACATAAAAAAACCCTGGATCCAAACACAGCCCAGCATACTGTTTCCACTGAGCTGTGAGATGGCCCTGGGCAGACTTGTAAGCAGAGCGTGAAGAGGACAGCTTTTTCCTGTTGTGTTGTTTATCTCAGTTATCTAATACTAAGAGGTATGCTGTCTTTGTATATGGGGATGTGATTTAACAGTAAGGATCGACTGCCCAATCCTCTACGAATTGTCTAATTTTCATTTAAAAGATCCAACTAAGCTGGGAACCACCAACATTTCCTTTGCAAAAAAATTCTATACTGGCAACATTAAGGGGGGGAAACTATCATGATGGTAAGCAGGATAAAACCAGCAATAAAATTACATCCGTTGAAGAAATACAAATCACAAATTGCTACCATCCTTGTGGTAGCAAACTCCATGAATTCATTTTTTTAAAGTTAGTTGAATTCTTAGAAATTGTACATCACCTTGGACACTTTGTGGCAGCAACACAATTAATAACATTAATTCATTAACTGAATGTGTGTTGTCTTCAGAAATACGGCTATCCAACACTCTGAAAGGGAGAGGGGTTAGGGTTACAAGGGGGAGTGCCAAGCTTTGTGTAAGCCGAAATCATGACATCACATCAAAATGATGCTTGGAGAATAAATGTTTTAAAAGGAAGCGCCAATATAGAAAGGTTTACTGCAGGAAATTTAGCAAGCCTGGCAAAGAGCTACAGCCCAGGAAACGAGCACTAGAATGTCAATACAGTGGCATTTTAACAGCTTTTATTAATGTCTGAAAGCAAACAGCAGGTGTGGAATGGGCCAGGAAAAGCAATTGTATCAACAGAATCATAGCTTGTCATCTGCATACCTATAACCCAACTGACCTTTGGGGTTTCTTTCTGCATTCAGGAGTCGTGTTCTCATTTATTTGTTCCATTCTGCATTCAAAACGTGGTCTTAAAAGGGGAGGGGAGAGAATCCAGTCGCATGAAAACTTGTGGGGCAGAGTCCTGCCGGATTTCAGAGCGAAGCCTTGTTATATATTGCTTCCAGCACAAGCCTTTTCCGTAAAAAAGCAAATGCGAAAGGGGACCATCTGGGGGAATGAAAACACATTTGAATCAATAGGATAAAGTTAACAGAATAAAAATAAAATAAAATAGAATGAACCAAATGGGATAAAAATTCCTGTGGATATATTAACGCTGAATACCAGATTTCAGGGCAGCTGTGAAATCGTAACATGGGCCAAAACCTCTTATGGTGTAACCCTGTACAGCTTTCATCAATGATGTGTTGCACCTGGTTGGATTTTTAAGAGCTTTTTGAGGAGATACTGTACTTAAAAATTGGGATAATGTAAGCCTCCTAGTCCTTCCCAGGTCTTGACGGTGGGGGAAGGAGCCAGGCCCAATCCTGGCTGAAAGTTATCCTTGCCCTCCAGAGCAGAAGAACCCATACTACTAAAATTACTGGAGACATGTTTATATCCGGGCTGGCTGCTTTGGGATGAGATGGGAGAATGTGGGACTTCAAAGGCCTCCTGGGGAACTTTGGGGAGCCAATAAGATGGAGTATTCCAGTCAATGCAAGCATGAGAATCTGCACTTTCCAGTTCATGTGCCCCAAATGTAACTGTGTTAGTTCCCTGCTCTGTTCTGAAGTTCAGGGACAAACATAACATTAACTACCAAAAGCCAGGAGCTCAGTTTGACACCCTCCCTTAAGTGTTCCCAGTGGTTAGGAAATAAAGAGCTTCTGTCAAATCAGATGTGCCATGGGAGTTCTATGAATGGATTTCACAATTTATTTATTTTTTTCAATTTACAAAACCAGTTGTAGAGACTTGGATTGGGGCTGCGAGGAGGTTAACCTTCCCCAGCCGACACACATGATTTCCCTGTTGAAAATCACATCGACACACCACAAAGCTGCTATTTAGAAGAACACAGTCAGCACACAGTGTTATGCCTGCAAGTTTTGTCTAATTGAGGCTAATAGCATCTTCAGGGAAATGATTCTCCATGGAAAAAGATAGCAGGGGCAAAGCTCTCACACAGTCCTGACCTAGGCACAGGGAGAGGGCTTGCAGCTCCTTCAGACCCTGACCAAAATGGTCATTGGCAAAGGTGGGTGGCACCCTGTGGGGCTTGTAGGGTGAAATACAGGAAGGTCAGCAGTAGATAGAGCCAGAGCCAATGGCTGGCAGCATGGGCATAGCCCAGGGGCAGGGGGCAGCTGCCCCCTTAAATAAATCAATAAATCAATAAAAAAACTAACTGTGGTTCTGCCTGCCCCCGCCCCCTCAACAACAAAAATCCTGGCTACACCCATGGCTGGCAGAGCTCATCTTCCTCTTTCCATCTTCTGGGTGGCAACAATGAGCAGGGCCTTTTTAGCTATGGCACCTCACTGCTACACCACTCTTCTTCCTCCTCCCTTCATTCACCAAATCCCATCCCTAATTATCTTTAGAATGAGATTGAGAGCATTCTCCTCAGCTCCTAATGCAGTTCAATTTTCCTGCCGTGTCTTTCTGCCAGATTTAATTTTTCACTTTGTTCTAAGTACTTTCATTTTATCCTTTCATTGTGATGTTTACCTTGACATCTGCCTCATGAATCAGTATGATTAATAGGCAGGTGCTGTATTCTATTAACCATAGACTTGTGTTTTAAGAATTTTGTCCTGAGCAGGACCCAGTAGCTGAAGAGAGAGGGGGCAAGAGGAAAATAATGGAAGCAGAAAACATTTTTTTAATTCAAATAAATACTGAGAATGTAATTGGATGTCCTGAATAAGAATCTCCTTAAAAATCATTAGAATCTCTTTCTGGTGGATAAAGGAGTAAATAGAAAAGGAGGGAATACATATTTCCAATAGATACATAAATAAATGAGGCAGAAGTTAAGAATAGCAAGGTAACTGCATTTGAACCAGAAGCATAGGGGACTCTTACTAATCCACAGTCCCATTTCCTGCTGCCCTGAGGGTGTTCCCACCCTAATACTGACCTGAGAACATGACCACTTAGCTTAGGAGACAGGCTTGGTAGAATGGCTGCCAGCCATCAGCTAAAATACTTACTTGTCAGCATCTCCTTTGTCCAGAAAATACTTTGACATACTACACTGCAACAGCTTCAATGGGGATATTTTTATACAATGATTTGATAGCTGATGTGTGATATTTCCTTTTACCTGCCCTCACTTCTTTCCTTCCTAGGCGTTGTCCAGAGCTGAAAGCATTCACCAGTTAATCCATATGATTAAATGACAGACTTGATAATCACAGCCATTTAAATATTAAAAGGTGAATTTTAAATCAGGCTTCAATAGGACTTCTTCTGTCTATGTGCGAGGGATCAGAATGGAAGGCGTTGCTGTAAACAATTGATCACATTTACTCATTCAGAGATGACTTGCCAGACAATCATTTGCCAGACAATGAATGACTTGCCTGTGGAACTATTTCCATCAAAGATCTTGAGATGATATCACGTTCACTGAAATGCTGTATCAAATTAATCAAATAATAAGTCAAAATCAGGACAATTAATTGACCCAGATCCTTCATTTGGGTGACACCTCTGGTATTCTGTTTTTCTTCACCTTGCAATTCTCCCTGCTTCCCCCCCAATCCAATGATGTTAACAATCTCTCAAAATAGTAGCTGCGCCAACGAGAATCTACATTTCCGCCATTCGCATGCCATGAAAACTTAAATGTTGCTATTTTCCACAGCACATCAAAGGAATGGAGCAGCTTTGGGGATAATATGGATTAACATAAACTCCTTCAGATCACGTGCCTAGCTGGGCTTGCAAAGTGGGATTCCATAATCAGATTTCAGTTGGGCTTGCTCTCAGAGAGAGGGTGTTGAGTTCCATTGTATAGAAATGGATACTGTATTGGGCAACAGCGTGTGGATGTGTTGACTGAGCAGTTGACTGGGGAAATCTCTCTTGTAGGGCCTAGATATCCAGCAAATTTATACCTATTGTATAATATCTGAAGTGGCTTCCTCCAAAGAATCCTGGGAGCTGTAGGTTGGTATGTGTGCTGGGGAGCCTCTCTCAGAGTTCCCCAGCCCCCCTCATAAAACTACAACTCCCAGCATCCCCTGGAGAGGTGGAATGACCAAGTGGTTTTGTCTGCAGGGTAGATGATCACATGCCCCTTGTCTTCTTTCTAGATAGTTCAACAGCAACTTTGTTTTCAACCTCAAGAGGGGGAGGCCATATTTTCAGGTGATGGGGAGGACATGCTTCCATCGAGCTTGCCCATCATTTATCTGGGTCTGTGTTTCTCCAACTGTTGGGAAAGCATCCTAAGGTGGATGTTGGCAGTTGCTAAGGGGGACACAACTCTGTCTTCACTGATTCTCCCCTATCCCATATTTTATGTCTGCCTTGCCTGGGCCTGAAGGCAGAATGTTGGCTGGCACTTTCTCCCCGCAACCCAATCAGTGTAACACAAGTGGTTGTGTGCTGTATTAGCTGGGAAAGAGAGGACATTTTGCCTTAGGTCAGAGAGACAAGCGTGCCTTGGCTGTTCTCACTTTCCCTGCCTGGCAAGCAGCACAGTGAGCTCTCTTGGGCCATCTGGAAGTGTCTTCACCAAATGCATTTCTTGCCTTTCAAGTGCTTCTGACATGGGTCATGTCACCGGTCCCTATGCCCCTTCCTCCCCTTCTGGTCTATGGCACACCATACAATCTCCATATACTCAGATACTGTATGTGTATCCACGTGCACATGATTTTCATGGGTGGGCAGTGGTGGAGCAGCAGCACACTCGCTACACTTTGGGTGGGCGTGCAAAGTTTCAGATCAGAGAAATCCTGTTTTTTCCTGTTTTCAGCCAAAGAGCAGTGCTGGTTGGTAACCCTTTGACAATCTTGAAGCCACCTCCCCTTCCCTTGGAGAAGTTATCTAAAACATTTAGTGTTATTTTTATACTACTAATAATAGGCCAGAAAAATGCTTAATCAGACAAACAGACAAAGCACTTCAGGGCGGGGGAAAACAATTAGAAAGACAGACTGCTGTCCCAATGGAAGAGTGGCAAAGAGGAGAAGAAAGAAATCAGCCCTTGGATGAAGCAAGTCTGTGTTATCAAAGAGCCATGTTGGAAGAAAGGTAAGCTCACGCCGCGGAAGAGAATAACCCAAAGTGACATCTGTGCACAGGGAGCCTGAATGCAGCCACTAAAGCTTCATTTATCTGCTATCTGTTAATCGCTTTGAGATATTTTCATGGGAGGCAATTCATAAATTTAATAAATGAACCCATAAATTAAATGCATAAATATGAACTAATATTTTAGAAATATTTGGAAATGGCATGTCCTACCACCGAATGGGGTGGTTGGACTAGATGACCCATATCTTTCAAATCCATTATTTTGATGGAACAATCCCACATTGGTTATGGGTACTGTATATTGTTCAATACTGGATATTGTTAAATGGCATGTTGGCAAGTTTTATTTAAATATGTACTGTATATATTTCAGTGATATATATTGCAGCGATATATAATGTCTCCGAGCACAATTCAAAGTGTTGGTGCTGACCTTTAAAGCCATAAACAGCCTTGGCCCAGTATACCTGAAAGAGCATCTCCAACCCCATCATTCAGCCCAGACACTGAGGTCCAGCGCCAAGGGCCATCTGGCGGTTCCCTCACTGTGAGAAGTGAGGTTTACAGGGAACCAGACAGAGGGCCTTCTCAGTAGTGGCCCCTTCCCTGTGGAACGCCCTCCTGTCAGATGCCAAGGAAATAAACAACTATCCGACTTTTAGAAGACATCTGAAGGCATTTAGGGAAGTTTTCAATGCTTGATGTTTTATGCTGATTTTAATGTTCTGTTGAAAGCTGCCCAGGGTGGCTGGGGAAACCCAGCCAGATGGTCAGGGTAGAAATAATAAGTTGTTGTTGTTGTTTTAATATTATAATTTTATTACATATTATGGCTACTGTACTATTATCATATTTATTCATTTTCTGTAAACCACTTTGAGTGCAATGTCTTTGTGGCAAAGACAGCATGCAAACAAACTGGCTGTAAGGTTTGTGCTACTGCAGCTGAAGTG